AATTTTTGAAATAAGTAGGGATAAATGAATATTAAGGTAAGTAAAAGAGTGTAGTTAAGTAATTCGTCCTTAAAAAAAAATAGGGAGAGTTTTACTTCTGGTTTTTAAAGTTATTTAAAACTTATTTTAAGTTATTTTTAACTTTGTCAAATACTCCCAAAAGCTAAAAATGACTTACAGTAGATTTGATCAACTTTTAAGTCAATCCAAACAAGTTCCTAGTATAATCCCATAAAATAGGCTTTGGGGAGGATATAATATACGCAGAACTTACCACTACTTTAGAAGTAGCAAGGTTATTTCCGATAGACTCTCAGATCAAGAAAAGACAAAGATAAAGAAGAAGAAACAATCCAAAGTAGGATAGATAGAAATAATGTAAATGAAGATAGTCATGACAAAATACTACAAGCAACCAAACAAATCGTCCTCAATAATAGTCATATATAACAAGTTGCAACGATAATCAAAGTGTAAAATATCACAAATAGTGACCACACACAAAGGACAAAGACACTAGAAGAGTAATACTACTAATATTATGACTAATAGTAAAGAGGAAATAACGAGAAAACACTCAACTAACTAACTTCCTATCCTAATATGTGTCCTCCATAAACTCTTATCTAAGATCATGTCATCGGTAAGTTGAAGTTGCGTCATGTCATGTCATGTCTAATCACCCTCTCTCCACTACTTTTTCGACCTACCTCTACCTCTCTTGAAACCATATTCCACATCCAACCTCTCACCTCTTTGCATCTTTTTTGCACGTGTCCAAACCATCTCAGTCTCGATTTTCGCATCTTATCCTCTATCCGGGCCACTCTTAACTTGTTCTAAATATCTTGATTCCTAATCATATCCCTCCCAGTATGCCCACACATACACCTCAACATCCTCATCTCCGTAACTTCCATCTTCTCAATGTGGAAGTTCTTGACTGGCTAACGTTCCGCTCCATACAATATTGACTGTCTAACCACTGCTTTGTAGAACTTGCTTTTAAGTTTTGATGACACTTTTTTGTAACACAAAACTCTAGATGTGAGCTTCCATTTCATCCCTCCTATAAGATGAGTGACATCATCATCCATCTTCCCATTTTCTTGGATAATAGACCCGACATACTTGAAACTTTCTCATTTTCTGAATGACTTGTGTATTTAGCCTTATTTCTACGCCAACCTCAGGCGTTACATTACCAAGCTTGCGACTCCTAGTATTCCGTCTTGGTTCTACTCAACTGGAACCCTTTAGACTCCAAAATCTGCCTCCAAACCTCCAACTTATTATTAAATTTGCCTCGAGTCTTGTCAATTCATTCATCACCAAAGCAAATAAAAACGAGCTAAGAGTTGATCAATGATGCAACTTCGCCACAACCGAAAAGTACTCCAAATCACATCTCACATCTTACCCTAATAATTCCTTTACTCATTTCCCCTCCCCCATTTTAATGAAAAAAACAAATACAACTCCACCTTATGCTACAATTTCATTTTGTCAAACTAAATAAAAAAATATTTGGAAGAGGACAAACTCAAAATAAAATTTCTCAAATCCAATCCAATCAAATCGATTCAGCGTTATTGTCTAAATCCCTAACTTTTTTCTCTTCAATTTAGCAGAGTTTCCTATTAATGGCTGCTGAACCATTACTTCAAACACAGCCTATAACTGAATCAGCTCCATCGTCTCCGACCAATTTCTCTTCCTCCGGTTCCGATTCCGATGGTGACTTTTTCGCTCCGACTTCCTGGTCTTCCAACAACTTACAGAAGAAGAAATTCCGCCGATCCAGAACTGCTCCTGCCTTGGTTTCCGTGAATGATCTCTTTGAATCACACCCTCATGAAGAATCTGACCACTTTGAACCTACTTCTCTAGTCAGACAGGCCGCTTTTCTGCTTGTTATTTACCTCTTTCTAGGTGTCATCGTCTATTCTTTCAACCGTGACCACTTCTCTGGAGTTGAAACCCACCCTGTTGTTGACGCCCTTTATTTTTGCATAGTCACTATGTGTACCATTGGCTACGGCGATATTGCTCCAACTACTCCTTTCACCAAACTCTTTGCTTGTATATTTGTGCTTGTGGGTTTTGGGTTCATCGACATTTTGTTGAGTGGGGTTGTCAATTACGTACTTGACTTGCAGGAGAATTTGATATTGACCGGTACTCGATTACAAGGGCAGCGGCAATTAGCTAGCAATGACCATAGGCGTAGCGGATTATCCGCCTGTATGGATTGCATTGTCGATGTAGCAAAGGGCAGAATGAGAATCAGATTGAAGGTGGGTTTGGCTCTAGGAGTTGTGCTTTTGTGTATAGGATTGGGGTCAATGGTGTTATATTTCCAGGAGGATTTGGATTGGGTTGATTCGGTTTACTTATCGGTAATGTCTGTTACCACTGTTGGTTATGGTGATAGGGCTTTCAAAACTCTGCCGGGAAGGTTGTTCGCTTCAATTTGGCTTTTATTTTCGACCCTTGCGGTGGCGCGAGCTTTCTTGTATTTGGCAGAGGCAAGGATTGACAAGAGACACAGGAGAATTACCAACTGGGTGTTGCAGCGTGAAATCACCATTGAAGATCTGCTTGCTGCTGATATTAACAATAATGGCTTCATTAAGTAAGTCTCCTTATTTCTCCCAATCCAAAATTCACAAAACAATAGTACCTTATTACACTACAAATGCTTCATAAATTCGTATACACACTTATTTGGTGAGAGATATAAGGTAGTTATCTCATATACATGGTGAAATAACTTATCCGATTAATTATCCCGAAATAATTGGTTTCCAACCAAACAAGTGCTTTGATGAGAACTTGAGGTTTGGTTTCACTCCTTCATTGACCGATAGGCCACATCATTGGGGCTCTACATAACTTATACTCCCGCCTCAATTTGTATGTTTTACTTTTCGTTTTAGTTGGTTTAAAAACATTGCAAATTCTTTAATTCTAATTTTTCACGAGACATGTTTATGAGCACAATATTGAAGTACATTTTACCTAATTTTAGTTTAAGATCACAAGATTCAATAGTTTTCTTTAGTTTCTGGAACGGTCATAATCAAACATACAAATTAAAACGGAGGGAGGGAGGGAGGGAGTATAATCTAATTATCTTTGTCCTGTTTTATGTGAGTTTTGCTTGTCCTGAAACAACAAATGGATTAGAAAGGAACATTAGAAGTTACTTTCATAGAAAAAAGACACTTCCTTTAATAACAAAACTTGTTAAATAAATTTGAATTGGAATATTTGGAACATATTAAAGACATAATTTGGATGGAGGGATTAATTAAAAGGCTAATCTTTTGCAATACTACACAGAAAATCAGAATATGTCATTTACAAGCTCAAGGAGATGGGAAAGATCAGTGAGAAAGATGTAATGCAGATATGCAATCAGTTCAACAAGCTTGATGAAAACAACTCTGGGAAGATAACATTACACAGCCTCTTGCAGAGTCATTTATAGCTGAAATTCTTTGGCTACCATGTACTTAATCTGCTAATTTTCAAGAAAAAAGGTTAGTATCTCATGTGTATATCACGTGTATTACTGTATATACATTGACATAAAAGTGTTATATTGCGTATATATGTTCTTGTATGTAATGTATGTCAAGTGTTTGCGCCCAATGTGTACGTTGACATATAGTGGTATAAGTTTACCTGGAGAGAAGAAGATGTGGAAGCCATGAGAGGGAACTCTGGTGAGGAAGAAAACTACAATGAAAACAAAGCAGTAGTTGTTAGAGTCATTTGATTTTCTGGTGAAACTCCCATCAGTTATTCGATGGAGTAACAACAAATGGCGGTGAAGCACCAACAACGGGTAATGTCAGAAGCAAAGAGGGGTGCGATAAGGATAGTCCTCCTCGAGCCTACTCTCGTCTTTTGAATTAAGCTTCTGATTAAGTTGGTGCAGACGTGAAAGAATCAGTTGACACTAGACTACAGCTAGAGTTTGTGTGAAAGAGAAAATATGAAGAAAGAAAAAAAAAAAATTAAATCTCGAAATTTTTTGATTTTGTGAAATTTATTGGAGGTGGTATATATTTTGTAAAGATTTTATTGATATATTTGAATGTGAAATAGTGGATTTATTTGGTATATCTCTGTATAAATCCCCTTGTATATTTCAGCACTTAAACGAACTATTCAATCTTAACTAATTTGAATTATGTAGAGATTTTGGCTAATAATAAGACTCCATTTTAAAGTTGATTCTTACACTATTTCAGCTCATAATTCTGTCTCATTTTATGTGTCACCGTTTGATTTGGCATGGTATTAAATGAAAAAAAGGAAGACTTTTGAAACTTGTGGTCTAAAACATTTTTTAGATATTTGTGTGATTGTAAATCATTTCATTAAGGATAAAAAAGAAGTTTTAAAGTGAAATTATTTCAATTCACATTACTAAAGTCTAAAAGGAGACTGAACGGCGGACGATTTTTTCCTAATTTTATTTTTAGTAATATCGATTGAGCACGACTGATTTTTGTAGCGTAAAAGCGTACATTTGCTTTAGCTCTATTGTTATCCAAAATGTCAATGGATTTTATTTAAATTAGAAAAGAGTATTTCAAAAAAAAAAAATCCATCAAGATCAGTGTCAAGAAAAAAAAGTAATCTATCGATTTCGACTTTCGTGGAAAAATTGTTGTTTTAATTGCGAATGATGAATTTTATAAATTCAAAAGCCGATATTTAAAAAAATAAATAAAATACTAATAAATATTTTTTGGGTTATGCATTATACTCCTTAAGATATTATTCTATATGTGATACTGTTTTTTTAGTTTGTTTTGGAAAAAAATATTACCTTATTACAATTAAATTAATTTATCTTTAAAATACATTTTTTTAATCTTAAATAAAACAATTTACAGCCACACACGATTATTTTATTTTAGATTACAAATTACAAATGCAATATTTTTTTAAAATATGGTTATTAAATAGAAAGGCAGAAAATGCGGTGGAATGACGGCGGTCACATAAATGCTTCAAATTCAGTCCACGTACCTCATCTGCAGGAGAAGTAATTGTTAGGATTTCTTTGAGCGTCGCAGATCTGATTTTAGGTTAATCGTGCAACTCTAGGTAATAAATTTATTTTCTGCTCCTTCTCATGGGTTTAAGATTTGATCAGCGTTTGCTTTTCTTCTGTATTGGATGTACAATCAATTTCTGTGTTTCAATTCTAACTGCTACTTCTTGTGTTTGATGATGTTTTTCTCACTATAATGAACTCAAAAATAATTTAACAGAGCAAATTTGATTGGCTCACCATTTTTGCAGGCACAATTTTAGATAATTGAGATGTTGATGGATGAGGCAAAACTCTTGCTAGGCTTTCCCACTAATTCTTGCCCCAATGCTTCTCAGGTATCTATTAGTATTTTTTATATATATAAAGGTGTGTCAAATGCTTGTTTCTTAGGATACTATCCCTTACAACTCCTCCGCAATTTTTAACTACACACCTAAACTTTGTAGCCTTGTTGTTATCTATTGAGAATATAATTAAATAATAAAAGTATACTCTCTCTAACAAAATAAAAGTGTGCTTTTTATAACATCTTAAGCTTTTAAATAAAATGGTCACACAGTCCAAATTGCATTCCATAGGTCATACACATGCGCAAACAAGAGTGAGAAAAAAACAAAGCTACTTTGATATCCGACCACTATCCTCCAAGCTCTCCAGAAACCTTCTTTACCAAATAAACATTATTAGGGAAGTCTTGGTGGAACTGGAAGGAACAAAGAGAGATAGATGATGGAGAATTGGGTGGTCTGAATGTGTCATTGGTGGAGGGTGGCTGGAAGAAGGTTTTGTTATGGTAGTTTTCTACCGTGTTTGTATGAAATGGGGTTGGAAGAAGGTGGTTCATGGTGGATATAGGTTGGCGTTTTCGTGAGAGCAGGACTGGGTTCTGGTTGTTGGAAATATTTTCAAGTGAGGGAGACAGAAGAAAGAAAAAGAATGAAGAAGATCGCAAAAGAAAAGGAAGAGTAAAATGAAAATGAATGATGGAAAAAACAACAACAACTAGGCTTAGTACACAATTTCATGCTCCAACTTGCACATATTTCCTTTTTACACACCCTCCATTCATGAAACTAATGATAGTAGCACATTTCAAACAAATGCAGGTCAAAGCTGCTTATAGAAGGAAGGTATGGGAGACTCATCCTGATTGCTTCCCAGTTCATCTCAAACCTAACGCAGAACTCAAATTTAAGATGGTGAGCCTTCCACTTTGTAAACACTCATTTCTTCTTATGATACCTGCAGCTCCTTTTCGCTGAAGCTTCATTTTAATCAAGCTTTGAGCATCATAAAACAATGTTTCACTAACATACTTTGTAATGTATGTAAAGTGGCTCGTTCAACATTTTCTCCATTATAAACTTTCCTTAATCACTCAGTTATGCCAAACCAAGTTAGTCTTTCGGGACCATTTTAGTAGAGCGAACAAATATTTTTTGTTGTGAGAACCAGTACCTTTATTGGTCCTTTTGGTAACTCTCGTGTTGTATGAATTTCTCCCCTCTTTCTTGCAACTATACTCTTTAATCTAGGAGTGTGAGCAAAAGGGTGATTCTTTGTCTTTCAAGTTTTCTGATGAAGGTATTTATGTTGGTCATTTCTTTTCTACGAGCTTTTATTTTACTGGTCATTGCTTCTGAAGTTTAAAATGCGTGTGTGGGTGCAGATTTCAGAAGCATACACTTGCCTGCTTTCTGGTAATTCTCATGTCTTATAAGCACATCTTCAACATGTGACGAGCTAAGAAGATTCATTTACTTGCTTGAAACCTTTACTGATGAAATGTCAAATTAACATGATTTTCAACTAAAGAAAGAACCTCCTTGCTCTTTCTGCTTACAATATTGTTTCCTTTCCCCACTCAGCTTGTCCCTTTTAAAAAAATCTTTTGTATAGAATTCTTTCATTATATATTCCTTTGATGCTAATAGTTCTAGGATGGAAAACACTAGATAAATACAACGTGTGCATTAAATTGTCTAGAGCCCTTTTGGACTACATTTTATTTGTTCATCTACATTCTGTTTTATTTGTTCCTTATTGTCTTAGTTGGGTTCGTTTTGAATGTAAATTACAGGTGCAAGACAAGAAGGTGAACATGTAGGTAAGCTACTGTAGATTAGCTCTTTATTGTGTATGTGCATGTGTACGCACATGAAACATGGGATCAACCCTCCCTTGATCTTATTAGAAAGACGTACCATGTTTTGTTACCAGTTGGATATTCGCGTGTTGTAAGAAGTGGTGTTCCTAGAGGAGGAGGAGGGAGGAGAAACCATGCACTGATTGGGCTTCCCTTTCTTTTTATTATTTTGGGAACTGCAGCATTGGGAGGAATGAATGTTGCCAGGTATGTTGATTCTGAATTGTTACTTGCTTGAAGAAAAGTTTAATGAGATGATCTGAATAGATGTTTTTTTTTAATACCTTCCACATCAGGTCCTACAGAAAACAGAAGGCAGATTATCCTTCTCATAATCCTTTTCTCCCTTGATTATTCATAAAACATTTGTGTATAGATACGGTATGTATGAAGTTAGTCCTCCATGAAATATAACATTTATGTAATTTTGAAGTTGTTCATTATGTAAAATTAGACTATAGTTTAGGTCATGGAAGTCCACTTTTGACTCCATTGAAGCAATGATCCCCTTAATTGGTGTTGTAATATTTTCTTGAACACAACTGTTGCACATTTGGTAATTGAAATTCCTAGCCTCCCTTGTTCTAAATACATTTTGACTTCTACATTTTTAGTGCATCATAAAAATACTGATATTAGTTCATCATAAATAAGGTATGTAAGTGGCATTCTGGCCCAAGTACATGGGAATGTTTATGCTTATTCCTTAGTTTATACCATTGTCTATTATGCGCACTTACACGATCTTCAGTTGACGCTCTCTCAACTGAGCTATCCCATAACAATTTACATCAAATCTCTATAGAGATGTTTATTTTAACATGTAAGAGATCCGAAAATAGAATACAAGAATCCTTGACAGGATCATTTTGCAGAGATACTTCTGTCGTCAGCCCATACGAATAACATGATATCTGAACTCAATGAGAGAACAACAATAGCACTTGTTTGAAGTTCGGGTTGATCTTTTTCTTGACTAGACACTTGTTCTACCTCAACAATTCATCCATAGTACATCATCAAATTCACCCCTCAACTTATCTCCTACTATTACGTTCCGTTCTATGTCCAAAGCAGTCATAGGCATAGCCGATGGGTGCCATGCCGGAGTTCCATTCTCATATGCATTACATGTCAGGCGTCTCAACCCACTCCCATCCAACTTCACCAAATATAAGTCACCATACGGTTGGTATTGGTTTGGCAGTGACACTGGTTCTGCTGTTACTCCACCCAAGTTGCCCGTGAACAGAAGCCACTCACAGTCCTTACTAAAGCATACATGGTTTAATCTCTCTTTATCTACTTCATCAGATCCCTCCGGCCCTGCCACGTGGATCCTACGAAGACCTGTGCCGTTAGGATGAATGACATAAATGCTGAAGCAAGTGACATTATCCGGATTGTGCCTGTTGGAAGAAAATGCAATCAGCTTTCCGTCAGGTGACCAGCTTGGCATTGTATCAATCCATGGCCCCTCTGTTAGCTGACGGATTCCTCCACCCTCCAGCTCTCCTTTAACAGCATCCATAATATACAGATTTTTGTGCCCCGAACGGCCTGATCGGAATACAATGTGCTTTCCGTCTGGAGAGCAGGAAGGGAAGGCATTATTTCCTGTCTCCTCTTTTGTGAGAACTTCTATTTCTACTGGAATTTTCCCGCAATCATCGTTGGTTAGATTTAATGAATTGAATGAGACTCGTGCGATTTGAACAGTTGCTTTTACAGAGTCGAATACAGGTCCGACTGACGTAAAAATCACATCGGGTTCAGCTGGAGACCAGGAGTTGCAGAAAGCCGTACGGCCTTTGAACAATGTCCACTTCTTGGAACCATCTGATTTGATGATTTCGAGGCCTGAATTAGCATTGAAATCATGATTGAACGCAATAAAGTCACCTGAGGGAGAGAAGGAAGGAAATGATCCATTAAGCCTCAGCATTCTCAGTCCTTTCTCTGAAGAAATTACCGGGTCCAAGGAAGGAATTGTTGCATCTCCCGATGATGATTCACCTCGGAACCGGTGATAACTGAGAAACGTCGACTTAGGAGAGAAGAATGGATTGTAATGGTGGGTGGTAGGGTTAAGCAACTCGGTCACCGAATAGAACTCGTGTGACTCCACATCGAAAATCTCAATGTGGCGATACCTCTTCCCCGGTCTTCTGGTAGCAATAGCAATCATTGATTTGGAATTGTACGAGGCTGCTGCAGGAGTAAAGCAGTGCACACCAGGAGGAGTAACTCGAATCGGATCAGCACACAAATTGGGTTTATCCTCAGGCAAATCAACTCTAAAAATGCTCCACCAACCATCATCAGCTTGTCGGTGAAAAAAGATAGTCGAATCACCAGACCAAGTTGGCCAGCCACCGTGTTGGCACACGACTATCCGCTTTTCGGGGTCGGATTCAGGGAAAACAACAATATCAGTAGTCAGGTCATGGAATTCACCAGTAGGCCAACGACGGTCTCCGTAAGATGCAACCGCAATCAGGTGTCCAGACTGCGAAATCGCCGGACTATAATCAGCAAAGCCATACGGAGTTAAGCGGGTGATCTTACTTCCATCCTCTATATTGGTAGAGTAAAGAGCGGACGAGCTGGTGAAAACTTGTTTGGGTTGCTGATGAGCTGAAATATAGTAGAGTCGTCTATTTCGAAGAAACGGACGGTCGAGAAATAGGCTATCAATGGAAGTAGGAAGTTGTTCAATCTGTACCTGAGAGGAGGGGCGTCTCAAGTAAATGCGAGGAGCACCTGATCTCTCAGAGACGAATACGAGTGTTTGATCTTCATCGACGAACTGTCCGTTGTAATTGATGGAGGTACCGTCTGTGAGGCGATGCTCTACCGGAGAATTGAGGAAAGAAAATGGAGATTTGATGGAGAAGATGTCGAAGCCGTAATTGGTTCTGCCAACTGTGGAGAAGATAATAGAGCCATGTGGTGACGACTGTGAATCCATAATACTATCGTTGATGTGCTTTGCAGGCCCGAAATGGCAAATGTTATTATAGAGAAATCTGAGCTGCAATTGGAGACGGCGACGGATCGTAGGTAGATGGGGAGTCTTCACGTTAGGCATGACGTTTTGGTCTTTTGTTTTGTTTTAACGACAAATTTTAAAGTGGACACGTTACATAGAAGTGCCTTATCCACAAAAGGAAGAAGACAAAATTATCTGTCCGTTCATGGGAGGTGACAGGTATCCGTGAAATGTTGTTTGTGAGAGGTGACATGTATTGTATGAAATTTGTTGAGGTATGCAAAAGCTGGCCTAGAGACTACGGTTACAAAAAAATAAGTACACAAACAATCTTTTTTTTATGACTAGAAATTCGCAATAGCTATCCTTTGAATACGTATAAAATAAAACTCCCCTCCTATGTCAAGGTCGCAAATAGTACGCAAACAACTCTGATAGCTAAGCATTTGTTTTAGTAGGTGGATGCTCCTCCATAGTCCACAATGGCACTCTAGCTTTTAGTTAAAGTTGTTGGACACTTGTTCACGTATTGATTCTAGTCATATCTACTTCTTTTGGTTGTAGCACTACACTCATAATGGGTCTTCATTATGGTTATTAGTAAGTGGAATTAGATCTAGATATTAGAGCTTCTACACTCAACTAAAAAGGCAACTAGATTCGAGAAAACAACAATATATTACTAAAAGAATGATCTACCTTTCTTTTTAGTCTGTTTTTAAAAAAAAGACTTTATTTTTATTTTTTGATAATATTTTAATTTCACCTTTTCACGTAACATGTTTGAGGCCACAAAATTAAAGGGCAATTATATATATTTGAGTTAACTTTAATTCAGGACCATGACGTAGACAAGAATTAACCTCTTGTCGGTGAGGTTTTGATGTATCGCAGAATCCAGAAAGCAGGTTAAGCATTTCATTTAATATTTACCACTTATGTGTTAAAAGGAGAAATCTAGAAACACTCTATTTTTGTTTCCCTCTCCCTCACCAAACCCGCTACCATTGCTGAAGTCCAGCATTAGGAACAGCCTCAAGCTGGTGGTCCAGCCCAAGAAGCTGCTGCTGAGCCCGTATTCTTTCTCTCACACACCCTTTCTGCCCTCTTTTGCTGAGGAGGAAAGAATAATCTTTTAAGCGGACAGCTTTCTTTCATAACCAAATGAAACTACCATAAGATTCAAAAGTCTTAAAATGTATTCAAAAGAAAGGAAGTTAGCTTGTTTAACAGCAACCCTGAAAATGAGCAATGCTTTTGGGCAATCTCATGGCAGCGAAAAGAGGCACCATTTGTGTTGAAAGTTTATTTGATATTTCGTGTAACTGAGGAAAACAATTACAATTTCATGTATACATACAACAACAACAACTACCTTGAATTCAGGCTTCTTCATTATAGTCTTCCTCACCTCAAGTATGCTTCTTCTCCATTGCAATCTCAACGCCACTGCCATAAGATGGACGATACGATACGTTAGCAAAACAAAGGCGCATGCATTTGTGAGGGGCATGTTTGCCACATGCCATTTCCATGAGTGCTATATATCCACATAGAGTGAAGGGAACTCATTTGAACATTCTTCATCGAAAAATAAGTAAAATAGTTATGTTTCGATACATAATAGTGAACACCACGTGTGACCGTGTTATCCTATAGTACTCCTATATAACCAAGGACTACATTCTTGAAGATTTAGAGATTGAACATGACACTTTCTATAAACAACAGGAAGCTCAGTAATACGACCTAAGAAATGCCTGTGGAAACAATCTCGAGAATATTTGGTCTTTTGCTTTGATAAGCAGCGCGTATAGTCCATAACAGGGGACGTGGACCAGAGCCATGCCAAAATACCTGAAACCAACTTCCCGTTTTAGGATATTCAAATCGTAAAGAAGTAGAGAAGGTGAACATAGATAGCATGTTATTACCACAATGGTGCCCATGGAGTGTTAAGTTCCAAGAAAGGATACGGCCACCTGCACAACAGGGCAATTTCTTTAAACCATAGACGATATACATGTGTCTTTTACACATGAAACGCACGTATGATGGGCGTATCTATTTACCAAGATAAGCAGCAGACGTGTAGACTCCACTGGAAAACAATATAAGAACAGCTCCACAGTATAAAATATGTGATACCAAACCAAGTAAATTGCTGAAACACAAAAACAGTTGTCTCATATTAGACTTACAGGATTTAACTACTTATAGCAAGCATTGTAAGGGACTCGTGAAAAACTTATTGGAGTTAGGGATGGAAGAAACTGTTGCACTTACAGGATTGCTCAGGACTGAATCAAGAAGAAGAAATATAGCATTTACAGAGTGCATTAATCCAATTAGCTGCCACACCAACAAAAGTTCACAATTAGAACAACTAGTTGAGTAGATAAACTGCAATTTCCACGATTAGAATAACTAGTAGAGTTCCTTTTGCTTTCACTTTGTAAAGTTACATATCGAGCTAAGAAAGAAATGGATTCTTATTACACCATCACGGTTTCTCCCTCTCTTCACTGTTTAAGAGCAATAATCACAAGTTCTTCTATAAGATTTTAAAAGGGAGATCAACTTGTTTCCTTACAATAATGTCAATTTTTAGCCGGTTAGATTGCAATTAGCTAGGAACTATGCTCGATGTTCTAAGACATAAGGATGTCAGGGAACAAAACCATTGTGGTCATCCAAACTTTCTCATGCAAATGCCATTTTCATAGCTGAATTCACCTGTCCTTTCCTGTTTCTCCCCACCCTCTTTCTGACCTCCCCCGTCTTTTTCTGGCTTAATGAGTGACATAAGGGTCTTCATTACGTAGAAAGGACTATCAACACACACTTCTTAAGTTTTCTGCGAGAGCTTGGTGAGTTTATCAAACTCCTTTGATCTCTGATAACTATTAACAACGATTCGGTACATAATCCAGACTATCCTAGATGGAACATGATGCTAACTGTTATAGTGAACTTTTGACATGGAAAGATGCATATATATGTCATTTCTAGAAACTTGAACTAAAAGATATTATGGTGAGAGAAAGAGTAACATTCTACAGTAAGAGCTAAACATAACACATATAGTGCAGCTTTCAAATGAAGATGAACTCACCAGGGTGAGCTTAAAATTTTCACCCGTCATAAATGGGAGCAATAGACACCAAAAGACAATATCTGTCAGCATAACAGCACCTGCACTAATCTGTGGGAAAAGCAAAACAATAAACTCGAGTCAAAAGTTGTAGTAGCAAATTCATGTAAGCTGATCAAATTAAAACATATTATAGTTATTGTAAAGATGGAGGATTGCCTAAGTCCATATAAGGAGACCACCAACCAATGTGAGGCTTTTATCCACTCTAACACCCTCTTCACGCCCAAGCCCAACTGGAGCGTGGATTGGGAGTCCAAACGGAAATGAACATACCATGTAAAGATTGATCTTGGACCTAACTTAACCTCAAAAGCTAGCTTATGACAGGAGGGTTGCCCAATTCCATATAAGAGACCACCAATCGATTCCCCAACCAATATGAGACTTTTACAGACTCTAAGAGCTATCGTTTTCTTGCTATGGTTGCTGAATTAATCCGTTGTTATTGCAATTAGGCAGACAAATTCATTTAATCCATTCACCATTAAGACAAATCCTCCCTTTCAAACTTGCTGAACAAATTAAGTTCCCCCAACTTCTCAGAGCTAGGAAAATTTGTTAAAAAATCCAAATTTGACATTTTCGAACGCTAACCTGATAAATAATTAGCATCAAATTTTCCAATAATCCAAGCCGTTGCTCAGAGGTATTCTGTTCAGCAGCTGTTCTAAGAAATTTATCTGTTTCTCCGCGCTGAGAAAGGGGATTCGTTGTATACAACCAGCATCCCCGGGCCGATATAAAAGTTCCCAGCTGCAACCAGCAAATATAATCATCAGCTTTAAACCACTTTTAGGAGAAAAAAAAAATCAGCTGTAAGATTAATACCGCAAAATAGATCCCAACTAAAGCAAATGTCCATCTGAAAAACAATTTAGAATATCAAATCAGTTGAGAATTAGTAATTTCTACTGAATTTGAAACACATAAAGTAGAGAAGGAAGAAGTACTGTGTGTAGAATAGGAAGACGAAGAATCCTAAGTTAACAACAGTCTGGTAAACCATAAAAGCCATAGCAACTAAAGCGGAAACTCTGAAGCAGAGAAGCCAAATAGGATGGAGATTTCTCCAACAGGGGATCCATAGATCAGTTGACTTAATAATAATAATAGGTTCGTTTTCTTTTCTTCGCTTGTTGATGATGAATCTTAATGAGATTGTGGTTGGTATGATGAAGATTAGAGCACAAACAAAGACTTGCCATTGAAGCCAGTAGTCTAAGCCCAAAGCAGACATCTCTGTTTCTCTCTTTGTTTAGTTGATGGAAAATAGAAGTGGAATAGAGCTAGTAGAGTAGAGAGGCCATGGAGAAATTAACAATAAGACTTTTTTGCAGGCATACCATAACCGATAAGTAAAGATTGGTTGGTAGTTGCCATTTCTGAAACTCAAGTTTTTTTTGTTTTTTTTTTAACTTTCAACATTATTTTTACTTATTTATTTTGAATTTCGTAAAATTGTTGTCGTGTTATTAGAAGGTCACTAACTCAAGTCTTGGAAATAGTCTCTGGCAGAAATATAAGATAAACTTGTGTACAATAGATTCTTGTGATCGGACCTTTTCATGAACCATGTGCGATACAAGATAAAGTTGTGTACAATAGCTCTTATAGTCATGCTCTTTCATGGATTAGATTGCATAACGAGAGTTTTAGTGCATCGAGCTGCCTAAAATAATATTCCCTCCGTTTCAAAAAGAGTAGTCTAGTTTGACTTAGCACGTAGTTTAAGAAAATAAAAAAGACTTTTGAATTTTGTGATCCTAAATTATAGTTATGTTAAATTTACAAAATTGTCCTTTAATCTTGTGGTCTTAGACATGTCACGTGTAAAATTGAAATTAAAATATTACAAAAAAAAAGGTAATTCTTTTTTAAATAGAGTAAAATAGAAAGTAGGTCATTTTTAAAAAAAAAGAGGGAGTAACTAATATAAATATTTTATTATAATACACACATTAATATTTAGATTATATCAATTGATATTCAATATTATATCTTATAAAATAATTTAAAAAGTAAGTAGTAGTAGTAGTTAATATTAAAAGTAAAATATGATACTTTTTTTTAATATAAGAAATAAAAAAAATCTTTTAAAATAATGATTTTACAAGAAAAAATAAACATTTTCAACGAGGTGGTGTATGGAATTTTTGTTGGCAAAGTATAGTCTTCTTATTATGAGCCTGTTTTGGTTAAGCCGTCCACGAATATCAGTTCTAAAAAAATCGTTTTAGATGTTAAAGTTTGTTTTATAATAAAAAAATTGGATAAAAGTATAGGTCCGATTGATAGTTGGTTAGAGTTAGGTAGATATTATTAATATAAGGACTAGTTATAAATGAATTTATGTATTATTTATATACATATTAGTTATTCAATAATTAGTTATACATGAATTGATCTTTCTTGTAAGTAACATGTTGATTTTTATTTTATTTTTAATTTGGTTGATGAGTTTTAATTAGTCTAAAATTTGGTATGTCTATTGGAAACGACCTTATTATCATCAATATTCAATAAGGAATAATGAAAGGAAATTACAAGGTGGAAAATCAATCCATCACCGATAAGATAAAAGTTTAAATAGCTAGTCAAACCAACTAACCTACTTTATTGTCGCTTTTTGAAACCCACAAAAGAACCAATAAATTGCATTACAAAGCAGGTGAAACAGAGCCAAGCAAAAGTACCTGCCCCACCACGTGAACAATAACTCATATTCAGTAAAGTTGGACAGAAAAATAAAAAATGTACAAAATTTATAGTAAAGTTTATTTTATTTACCAAACAGGAGCCCTGGTGTTGAAAGTTCCAAAAAAAAGGTAAGGCCACCTACAAAATATTTTCAAGTAAAACATGACTATATATTATAATAATTTGATCTTCTGCAAGAAGATGTGATTAGCTCCTGATTACATGACAACAACTTTATCAGATACGCCAAGACTCTTCTTCTCATCACCACACAGAGAATTGGTTGTTTCGATAGAAGAATTAAGAACACTAGGAGAAAAATTCATATCGAATTATCAACCATATGTACACTGAAGTCTGAACGGACCAGAACAATAATGTTTCAATGGCGAATTTAGTAAAGTTCGAAATTAGTCTGTTATGTACAGCTAATAAAATGAGAATTCCGATACAACAAAAAACCATCAAACTGAGTCCATCCTCTTCGATTGTATGTACAGAAAACCCACCTAAAAAAAGCATTCGAACGAACCACAGAGGAAGAATCCTCTAAACTCAACGGCTTCCACTGTTATCCAACCAACTCTGTAAGCTGCACAAGGCTTCTGCTGAGAAGCTGCAGCATCTTAAACGCCTTTGTCGTGACTGTGATGGTTCTGGATGATCAAGGGAAGTAAAGCAAACAATTACCACAGTAAGATTGTCGAAGGTACTGAGACGCAGGGCTTCCATGACAAGGTCTTTGGCACACTGTTCAGGATCATCATGCCGTCTCAAACCACGACGTACAAGATTAACGGCTTGTTGACTTGACATAACATCCCAGATCCCATCACAACCAATTATAAGGAATTCATCATCCTCGGTCAAGATGATCTGTCGGATTTCAGGCTCCGCAATCAGAGGAGAGGCAGAGCCACGAGGCAGCTTCATGTCCCAGTCCCCTAAGGCCCTAGTCACTGATAGGACACCATTGAGATAGCCATCATCAATAAATCCACCCAACTCTTCAACACGCCTTCTCTCCGATGCATAATTCGGTCTATGGTCTTGAGACATATTAACTGCCTCTCCCTTGTGACAAAGGACTGCACGACAGTCTCCCACATTCGCCACCATTAAAAGCCTGCAACAGGACCGAATAACACTTTAGTTAACAAGAATACAGTAAACAAGCAGGTTCCGAAAATTCCATAAAATAGAATCAACTTCTATAGCCCTCCCTCCTTGTTCTTGAGTTATAAGTCGTCTATGGTTAGATACTTGGGAAAGCAATTCTATGGAATTATAAAATAAAGACAGGCTTGACGCTCATCCATCGAGCAACATACTTGACTAAGGAATGAATAACTAATATTATCCGCTTAGAGAATTGAAAACAGTATGATGCGTCCACGGAGTGCCAAGAAATAGAATTGAGCATATAAAAGGTCTAATAATAAGATTTAAAGACAATCATGACGATTAGCAGAGAATTTGAACATTACTAGTTCAAGTTCAGAATTCTATCACAACTCATTCAATTTACTGGATTCAGAATCTATTATTTGTATTTATTTAGTGAATTTTTCAACACATATACGGGTGACGGGTCTCAGCCAAAGTTGTTGGTTTCGATAAACCCGTAACTTATATAGTACATCCACTTCTTACCATGAGCATGGCCAATTTTATACAGAAAGGAGAAGCATTTTCACACACATACAAAAGAATCAAAACTTTACCTTCCCAATATCAGCGCTGTCAATGCAGTAGTTCCAGAAGAACTACTCACACTACACTCATCCGCCAAAGCAAGGTCAGCGAGAAGAAACCCTTCTCTTACAGAATTTTTCACCTCTTTTAAAAATGTGTCATCAACTTCCGATGTCTGAGGGAAATTGGTTTCCTCAAAAAGGAACCGGAGTACATGCTTCCTCACATAAGCTGCTGCCTCAGGTCCTCCATGACCATCAAACACCTATAAGATAATGAAAACACGAATCAGTTAGACAAGCCCTCCAATGACCATATATAACATGTGCCAGAATTGATAATTACCCCATAGAAGGCACAAGGCTTAGGGAACCTGACGAGGGAGCCTTGGTGTGCAGAAAGATCATCTATCCTTATATGCTCATCTTCCATGAACCTCCGTGGGCCAATATCTGCAAAGCTACCTGAGCGAATGCTAGGAACAAATTGCAAAATTGTAGTATCTGGTGAATTAGAAACCTGAAATAATGATTTGATAAAGATACATCAGTACACAGATGAAAAGAGAGAGTTCAATAACAGGCACTAATTATAAGTACATATTTAGCAGGAAAATTGCGGAACAACGAAAACGGCGATTGAGTTCAATGACATGGCATGGTTCATAAGCAAAGGTAAAATTAGAACAGAAAAGATGAATAGTGTAGGAGAAACGACCTTTTCCATCTTCCCTAACAGCAGGTAATCTGTCACAAAAAAAAAAAACCTTTGCCACCCCTTGGTTCCAAAGAGACATGTATCAGCAACTCTGTACTCCAGTCCCCAAATGTGCGCGATATACACAGTATTTTAATTAATTTTTTTTGGTGGCCTCAACTGTTACAGAAATATCAAAAACCACTAGATATTTAAATGCTATGACCATCTTATTGTAAAAATCCTATACTTTTTCCCTCTTCCTATGAAACCCTCACTACGTTTCAATAATAAAGATGCCGTAAGTGAGAAAAAAAAAGTTGTCAATGCCTTGAGAATTCCATGACAACTGTTTTCCATTCCCAAACCAAGTATTACCAATTGCAAGTCCAAGAATTAATGCTTTTGTGGACTTGTATCATCACAACTTTGTGAAAAGGCAACCTTACAGAGCCACAGACAGAACTAAGAGAATGAGAATATTTCCCTGAGTAATTCAAAGGAAATAAAGAGCAAAAATTGATATCCACGCAAGCGATCTCTACAAACTACGTGTAAGCACATTTTTCCTGTTTTGGGAAGAAGGTAACTCCACTTAATAGAAGAATCAAGCTACTGTTTACCTAGTGAATATGTTTATTAACACATAGATACCTTATGAACTGCATTGAAGTACATGTTGATTAGCACACAAATAAACACTTAAAGGGGCTCCACACAACCTTGTTGTAGGAGAAAGGCCCAGTAGGTCCCCGCCTAATTACAGTTCAAGGAGCTTTACAAGGCACCTTTTAAGCATAAATTGCTCTGTTTTACTATAAGGCCCCCACGGTCCCCTTTGTACAAAACCGGATGACTATTTGCTCAATTAACACCTAGAGGAATGTCACTCTGCAAGAATTATACATTTTTATTGTTACATTTAGCATCTAAATTGGACTGCTCTCATCTTCCCAGGAAGAATGGATGAGAGGTCCCTAGAGATAACTTTCTTCTTTGAACACCAAGAAACATTTTATGCTGTATAGTTGCCATCCTCCAAATCCACTGGAAAGTGGAAACTTATTAAATGAGCACCTGAGGTATACTATTAAGTATTAACTATACTTATCAACAGCATGTCATAATTAATACCTATAGTAAAACTTGGGTAGTCATTCTAGCTTCCATTAATAACCTGAACATAATAGTAACCATTATTACGCACAAGGAATGCCTCCCCTTTCTAGTGTTCTCCTTCGGTCACACCCTATACCTTTTTCTGCTCATGAAATGACTCTTATGATACTATGAGAGGTCCAAAGTTAGTCAT